TCTTATGTCACTTCGAGTTTTGATTAATTAACCTCAAAATTTGCAACTACCTTCTTTTTTAAATTATCATTTCACATAGTTATACATACCATAGAAATTTAGATATCTAAATTTCATGGGAATAATTATCCATTGTTAGATCTAACCATGTGCTTGGATAGTAGATTATTTCGGATAATTTTTTGAAAGAAATACTGTACTACTTTTTTGATGTGATGCATGTGAAATAAAAAAAATCATTGAAAAATGCATTAATGATTTAGACAAATATATCCTAGCAAATAATTCACTAGCCAAACAAACATGCCTACAACTTTTGCATGCTGAATTTTAACCAAGTTTTTCAGTATTATTAATGTCATATGTATTTTCTATAAATTTTCTTATTTTAGTTGTATTTTTATGATATTTTTGTATATGATTATTTATTATTAAATGTTTAACAAATCAAAAGTAGCGGAGCTTGCTCCCTGCACCGTGGGTTGTGGCCTTTCAGAATACTAAGGTGTGGTTTAGTTTCCTTTGAAGATATGAGCTCGGCATTTGCATCTAAGCTCCGGTGGCGTCTGCAGAACAATGATTCCATATGGGAGGAGTTTATGTATGCAATGTACATTAAAGGGTGTCATCCTTTTAAAGCACTAGTTTATAGGCCTCCTTTAGCTTGGCGAAGACTATAAGACATTCGAGATTTTGCATAGGGCAAGATTGGATGGCGCTTGGGCAAAGGTTTTGTTGATTTTTGGTATAATGATTGTTGTTCGATTCGCCTCTAGCAGATATAATTTCTATTGAGGATCCACCTCATGTGTTGTTGGCTGAATTTTATGGAGAGGCTGGTTGGAATGTGGAACGATTGAAGCATTGGTTGCCCATGGATTTAGTTCATAAAATTTATGAGATTCAATTATATCCGGATCAAGATGATTGCATGGTCTGGTTAGAGTCAACCACACGAACTTTCATGTTTAAGTCAGCTTGGGAGGCTCTAAGACAACGGAGGAATAGATCCACAGTGGATAGGCTTATATATAATGACATTGTTCCATTAAAAATTTCTTTATGTACTTAGAGGGTACTGCAACATCTAGTAACGGATTTGAATCTTAAAAAATGTGGAATTATTTTGGTTTCACGGTGTCCTTGTATGTCGCATGAAGAATCAGTTCTGCAATCGCTTCTTACAGGTCCATTAGCTTCAGAGGTCTGGAGTCATTGCCGACGGAGATTTGCATTCTTAATATAATGTCTTCGTCGACTTCTGCTATGGTTTTATCTTGGTTTTACTCAGCCTCTTTTGTTTCCACGGATCACATTAGGGCTGCTCTCCAAGCTATTATTTTATGGTTTTTATGGAAGGCAAGGAATAAAGCTCAATTTGAATTTTGAAGGGGATCAATTGGAAGCGCTAAGAGTCATTGTTACGATTGATAGATTTGTCGAGCAATTGGGAATGGTGAAGATTTTTTTAGTTTCTCACTTTCGAGGTGACCTTAATGATCCATTGGTCAGATTTGCTAAATGTTTCTTGCGTGTTATGTGAAGTGTGACAGTTGCTTGGAGGAGGCCGTTCTGTCCATTTGTTAAACTAAACAATGGATGCATGCGTTTTTCAGGGGCGTGCCTATTAGGGGTGGATTGCCTAGGGATCATGAGGGCATTTGATTTGTTCTTATTTTAAGGAGTTTAGGGAGGTGGATGCTTTGACGAAGAGTTTACATGAGCTACAGCTTTATAAAGATACAGAGGTAGAAAAATTGCTAGTTGATGTGGATTTGGAAATTTTGTTTCGATTGTTGAACTCTGGGATGGTATCGAAGTGGCGTAATGTGTTGCAAAGAATTCGGGTTCTATTAAAAGATTTGTCCTCTTCCATTTCTCATATTTTCGGAAAACCTAATAGCTCTTTGGATAAATTAGCAGGTTTGCGCTTTCCTTCAGAGTTGTTTTGTTCATCTATTCATCAGCTGCCTGGAATTGTTATAGCCTCTATACAATTAGATATTAGGAAATTTTCATTTGTGCATATGTGAGTTGTAAAGGAGTAGTACTAAATATCAGATGGGCAGACGGTCCGTCGAACCCTTTGATTCGCCGGAGGTGGGACTGTCACAAACAACCTCTTTTTATCTTTCTTTACTTACGTTCTTCATCTTCTTCCTCAGTTGTTTCTCTTCTTTAACCAAAAATATCTCATCTATCATCCAGAATCCTCTACCACGCTTCACCAATGTTTTAGAAAATCAAATCCAACCCACTAACATTCATTCCAGAAGATATTCGCTCAAATATTACAAGCTTCAATACTTGAATACTTGGATATTTGATTAAAAAGCAAGAAAATGGCATTATGTAGAAATTTTTCACAGCTACGGTCTCAGGCCTCAAGCCGTCACCGTGCCACCAATGCGGGTACAAAGACTGTTAATGGGAATACTATCATTACTGTGGTACCCGTTAATGGGTTCAAAACCCATTTACTAAACAACTAAGTATTACTGTACCATATTACCACTGATATATTTGTACACGCAATTCCCTACCATTCAAAGTCTAAGAACTTGATTAATACGTTTTTTGTATTATTGTAGAAACTAGTTTCTTGCCTGCTCTTGTGAAAAGTCAGCAATGAACATTACTACTACCCAGTCCTTGATCATATTGTTGGTTCAACTGGGAGTTCGACTCTTAGATCTGCTTTATAACAATGTTCATTCCCAAGTTATCCTTGTCTCGTCATTTGTCATCCATCATGCAGTATGCAGAAAGAAAGGTACAACCGTCCGTTGGAATCAATCATTTGCTGATAGCAGCTCCATCTAATTAAATGTGCATTCAGAGCTAAAATTTTAGCCCCACAAGCAACATAAATGATAGAAAAGTAAATTAATAATAATAATATTTAAAAGAAGTATTCACCGAATAATTTAGGACGAAATTGGCATATAATATACATTCCCGAATAATTAACTGGCAGCGCTTGCTGTATTTTTAACCTACTTTGCAGAGTTCATTTTATGTGCCGATGCCCTGAATGATACTAACGATTTCCTATGCTGTTTATCATGCTTTGCTTGTGAAGGCATATAAGTAGCTTCAGCAGGCGTCGAGTATCAATATTGAGCTTCGAACTGCTCTAAAGTTTTCTAAATGCAATGGCCACATCTATGCATTTTGCATCATCTTTTTTCTGCTATACAACTTTTTAGCTATTTCCCTTATTCTTGTTCCATGTCTTGCTGTTTCGCTAACTCTGCAATCTGATATTCAAGTTCTACGTAACATCAGGGAGGCTGTTGATCCCAACACTGTCTCCTCAACTTCATTTCTCAGCACTTGGTCGGGGCCTCATTTTCTAGGAGTTTTATGTACAACTCCTGAAGATAATTCTAGCAGCCGAATAGCTGTAATTAACCTTGAGGAGATGGATTGGACTGTTTTCTGACTCCAACAATTGGAAACTTGACAGAGCTCACTACCCTAAACTTAAGGAACAACAACTTCCGGGGACCAATACCAAATACTATAGCCAAGTTGAGAAAGATAACTGCAGAGGCCCCGTCCTGGGCCTGTACACGTGGCAGCCCAGGGCAATCCGAGCTGGGCTCCGACCCCGGGCCATGAGGAGCCAGCCCAGGTCGCGCGACGCTAGGCTCGTGGGGTGCTCCCGAAAGCTACCCCGCAGAGGGCGGGAGAGTCCCCCTCATCGCGGGATTAGGAGCTATCCAGGGCAAGTCCCGAAACGTACGAAGGTCGGACTCCACGGCAGTATAAACAGTAACGCCGATGACTACGCAAGGTACGCTCACTATTGGCAACTCACTCCCGACTGCTTTCCTGTTAGTACACTCCTCTCTCACCGGAAGACTAACTGGACCGTCGGAGTGCCCTCGGGGACCACCTCGGCCCTGCCAGTTTACTTTCCTGTTTATCTTTCAGGCTTAGGAGCCACTGTCCATCACCAATCCGAGCTCATCAGTCAGCTCGTCCGGGAAGTTCCGTGCTTCTTCAGTTGGCGCCGTCTGTGGAACGAAAGGTACGAGTGTTTGTGCTGATGGCGAGAACGCGCTCCAAACGAACCGTGGAAAACTCCGACCCCGGGCCGCAGAGGGGTCCCGGAGAGTGGAGACCGAGGCGGCCCGGGCGGCCGGGCCTCGGCCCTCTCGGGAGAACGGAGGCAACAGATCTTCCAGTTTGTAACAGAGAACATCCCTATGCTGCTGGAGGACATCATCCGACAAGCAAAGGAGGGAGGAGAAGCCCGCGCACAAACCTCCAAGGCGAGGGGAAGCGGCCGCGAGTCGCCTCCCATTCCCTCGAGGATGAGTCCGAGACCGCCACCCCCGAGAAAGCGGCCACGAACTCCCCCTCGCCCACGGGCCTCAGTGGTGGGGGATAGCGAGGGGTACTCCGCGGCCGGTCCGCCAGGAGCTGGCCGCGGGAACCCGCCCCACGGAAGCCTGTGCGGAATGGGGTGGCGAGATCCCCCGACCGATCTGTGAGGAGCTTGCGACGTGGCCTCTCCCCGGGGAGGCCAGTCCGAGACGAACTTGAGCAGATCTTGCGGCCGCAACAATACGAGGACAATTATGCGTCCTCACTCTTCACTCGGGAGATAGAGGACTGCCATTTACCCCGGAGGTTCAAGATTCCGAACATCGAACTATATGACGCCACGACTGACCCGGAAGACCATCTCTCCGTCTTCTTGACGCACATGCGTCTGCAAACAGGTGTGGATGAGATCCGCTGCAAGACCTTCCCCATGTTCCTGAAGGGAAAGGCCCACCTCTGGTTCCAGGGCCTGGCACGGGGTCCATCCGAAGCTTTCCCGAGCTGGCCAGGCAGTTCGTCGCTCAGTTCGTGTCCTCGAAAACCAACTCGAAGAATGCGGCCCACCTAATGACTGTCAAACAGAAGCCGGACGAGTCCTTGAAAAATTTCATATCCCGCTTTAACACGGAGAGCTTGCAGATCCGGGACAAGGATGAGAAATAGTGATGGCCGCGTTTATGAACAGGCTGAGGGTGGAGGAGCTCTACTACAAGCTTGCTGAACAGCCCCCCAAAAATCTGGAAGAGCTCTTGACCCGGGCTCACGCCGCCGCCAACGCACAGGAGGCCGCCCGCCTGAAGAGGGAGTCAGATCGGGAGTTCGGGGATCGGAGAGGACGGGGAAACCCCCCTGAAATCAAGGATGGCCAAACCAGGAAGAACGTTTTCGATCGCCTCTCCAAGGATAAAGCCCCCGCTCAACCGCCACTCCCGGAAAAAGGGTACACACCCCTGACTCGGCCCAGGGCACAGATCCTGGCGGTGATGGAGGCAGAGGGTTTAGGAGGACGGCCGCCCAAGATGGGGACGCCCCGGAATAAAAGGAACCAGGACCGGTACTGTGCCTTCCACCGTGATGTAGGGCACGATACGGAAGGATGCTGGGCCTTGCGGAAGGAGATTGAAGACCTGATCCAGCGCGGTTTCTTGGGGCGGTTCGTGCAGCCAGGTCGGCCGGGCCGGAGCGCGGACGTGCCTACCACGAAGGGAGGGGCGAAGGCTACCGCCGAGACCGCCCTGAGCGGCATGACGCGGCCCGGGGCCACTCCCCCGACCAGGACACTCAGAACCTGACGGGGGTTATAAACACCATAGCCGGGGGTCCCACGGGAGGAGACAGCCATACAGTCCGGAAAAACAGGCGACCTCCCCCCGACGGAGATGATTCACTGAAGCGTCTGCGCATGGATGAGGAGATCACTTTCGGACCGAGGGACGCGGTTCCCTTGACGGCCGGGAATCATGAGGCTATCGTAATAGACATCGTCACCAATAATTACCGGGTGAAAAAAGTGTACGTCGATCAGGGAAGTGCAGTGGACATCCTGTTCTACAGGGTGTTCAAGGAGCTCGGCCTGGAGGACGGGTAGCTAACCCCTGTTCGGATGCCTCTAGTAGGCTTTACCGGACCGCCCATCAATCCGGAGGGGATGATCACCCTGATGGTCACAGTAGGTCAGACACCCAGATGCCGGACCATCCCCGTCAATTTCGTGGTGGTCAAGCAGCCATCCCCGTACAACATATTCCTAGGTCGGTCCGCTTTGAATGCCCTCCGAGCGATTCCCTCAACGCTCCACCTCAGCGTCAAATTCCCCACCCGGGAGGAGTTGCCGATATGCGTGGAGATCTGGTGGTGGCTCGAGCATGTTACCTACCATGCTCCGGGGACACGAGAAGGTGGTCGCTCAGACGACCAGCTTGGAGCCTTACATCCCGGGAGAGGAGGATCGGCAGCTGGGCACTCAGGATGAGATCGAGGAGTTCCCATTGAGGGAGGACAAGCCTGACCAGGCAATCCGCATCGGTGCGTCGCTACCGCCCAAAGAGAAGGATGACTTGAAGGCCCTCCTAAGGGAGTACGCCCAGGTTTTCGCTTGGACAGTGGAGGACATGTTTGGGATCCCGACCGACCTGACCGTCCACCACCTCAACATAGACCCCCACTTTAAGCCAGTGAAGCAGAAGAAGAGGAACTTCGCCCCAGAGAGGAATGAGGTGATCCAAGAAGGAGGTCGGAAAGTTGCTGGAATCCAAAATCATCATGGAGGTCTACTATCCGACCTGGCTAGCCAACCCTGTTCTGGTAAAGAAGGAGGACCAGTCCTGGAGGATGTGCGTTGACTTTACAGATCTCAATAAAGCCTGCCCGAAGAACTGCTTCCTCTTGCCAAGGATCGACAGGTTAGTAGATGCTACTGTTAGTTTTGACGTTTTGTGTTTCCTGGATGCTTTTAAGGGATACCACCAGATAGAGATGGCCTAGGAGGATCGGGAAAAAATCTCGTTCATCACCGAGGAAGGGACCTACTGCTACCGGACGATGCCATTCGGGCTAAAGAACGCTGGAGCAACCTACCAGCGCTTGGTCAACAAATTATTTCAGAACCAGATCGACAGGAACATGGAGGTCTACATGGACGACATGATCGTCAAGAGTAGAGCAGGACCACAGCTCGTACCCGACCTGAGGGAGATCTTGAACATCATCTGGGAAAGCCGAATGCGGTTGAACCCGAAGAAGTGCACCTTCGGAGTTAGGTCGGGCCGGTTCCTCGGGTTCTTGGTCTCTCGAGAAGGAATCCGGGGCAACCCCGAAAAACTCCAGGCCATCATGGACATGGCCCCTCCACGGAGTGTGAAGGAGGTCCAGCGACTCACAGGAAGGATGGCCGCCCTGAATAGGTTCCTCTCACGGTCCGCGGTGAGGGGGCTCCCCTTCTTCCGAGTCCTGAAGGCGCCCAAGGACTTTCAGTGGACCGAAGAGTGCTAGAAGGCCTTTACCGACCTAAATGCGTATTTGGCCGAGCTACCCATCCTGACCGCCCCGGAACAGGGAGAAATCTTGTTCCTATACTTGACCGCCTGCAACGAGGCCGTTAGCGCGGTTTTGGTGCGGGAGGACAGGGGGGTTCAGAGGCCAATATATTACGTTAACCGCGCTTTACAAGGTCCAGAAACGCGGTACACGCCGGCCGAGAAACTGGTCCTCGCCCTGGTACATGCTGCCCGAAAACTCCGACCTTACTTTCAGGCCCACAGTATCGTCGTCATGACCGACCAGCCCCTACGGCAGATACTCACCAAGCCCGAAGTCTCGGGCAGGATGACCAAATGGGCCGTCGAGCTGGCCGAGCATGACATCGGCTATCAGTCTCGCACAGCCATCAAGGCCCAGGCCTTGGCAGACTTCCTTGCTGAGGGGCCAGCTTGACCCTAACCGAGCTAAGCCCTTTGCGAGAGGATGTACGGACGAAGGAGCCATGGGTGCTATTCGTAGACGGGGCTTCCAGCAAGGAAGGAAGCGGGGCAGGTCTGCTGCTCATCTCGCCAACAGGGGAAGAGCTGACCTATGCTCTCCGGTTTGACTTCCTCGCGTCCAACAATGAGACTGAGTATGAGGCCCTATTGACGGGTTGCGGATAGCCCACCAGATGGGTATAACCGCGATCAAAGTCAGGAGCGACTCTCAGCTCGTCGTCCTCCAAGTTCGTGGGGAATACGAGGCCAAGGAGGAGGTCATGAAGAAATATCTAGCCAAGGTGCAGGAGGCGATAGCCCTATTTGATACATTTGAAATCGAGCAGGTGCCTAGATCTCAAAACAAGCGTGCAGACGCCCTGTCAAAGCTGGCATCCTCCTCGTTTGCGCACCTAAACAAGGGAGTTTTGGTAGAGGTGGTAAGGCAGAAAAGTATCGACCAGGTCCAGGTCCTGGCTATAGATAGCTCGGCCACCTGGATGACCCCCCTCGTAGACTTCCTCGACTCGAGTGTCCTCCCTGAGAACAAAACCGAGGCTCGCCGGATCCAGCTCAGAGTTGCCAAGTACGCCTACGCTGGGGGAACCCTCTACAGGAGGTCATACTTATCCCCTGGCTAAAGTGCGTGACTCCCGAGGAGGGCGATTACGTCCTCTGTGAAGTCCACGAAGGATTATGCGCGGCGCATGTGGGTCCCGGGTACTGGCCAAAAAATGCCTTCTCCTGAGCTACTATTGGCCTTTGATTTTCCAAGATGCGGTTGCTCTGGTTCAGAAATGCCGAGCATGCCAGGTGCATGCCCCGCTGCGCCACCAACCCACCCGGGAGATGGTCCCCATCCACAGTCCTTGGCCTTTCGCCCAGTGGGGGATAGACCTCCTGGGTCCCTTCCCCGAGCTCCGGGCAGGTACGAACACCTCGTGGTAGCCATCGACTATTTCACAAAGTGGATGGAAGCCGAACCCTTGGCCACTATCTCCGTAGAGCAATTCAGAAGTTCTTCTGGAAAACATAGTCTGCCGCTTTGGAATCCCACACGTCCTCATATCCGACAAACGGGCGACAGTTTGCTGAAAATCCCTTCAAAAGCTGGTGCGCCGAGCTCGGAATTAACCAGCACTTCACCTCGGTTGGACACCCCCAGGCCAACGGTCAGGTGGAAAATGTCAACCGAACCATTCTGCAGGGGCTAAAGATTAGACTGGAGTTAGCCCAGTCTAACTGGCTAGACGAACTACCTAGCGTCCTCTGGGCTTACCGTACTACGCCCAGGACGGCCACCCACGAACCCCGTTCTCTCTGACTTACGGAGTAGAGGCGGTAGTACCCGCGGAGATTGGTCTCCCCTCACCCCGGACACAGAACTTCGTTGCGTCAACCAACGAGGAAGAGCTGAGGTACAACTTGGACATGCTGGAGGCTAAGCGTGAGGAAGCGGCGGTACGGATGTGATGTGAAACGGATCTAGACGAACACCAAGTTGGGATGTTTTGCGGAACTTTGACCCTTCTAGAATCACGAGCCACGAACTAAGGAGATTCCTTAACCCACGACTAGCCACTTTAGTGAACCAAAAGTATAGATAGAAGAACGCCACAATCAAGGAGACTACTTGATTGATAAGTTCGTTGAACAACTTGAGATTGATTCTCAAGTATTCAAAGGAAATTCTTTTGAGGCAAGAGAGAGTGAAATAACTCACATATATTTTATAAAATCTGAATTCCCTTTAATGAATGAAAACCTAGGCTATATATAGCCTTACAGGACTCAAACCCTAGCATGTCCAATGGACGACCTTGCCCTTCATTAAGGGTGAAAATATCTAACTACTAATGGACTAAAATTAAGACTCTAAATTCGGCCAAAGTGAAGTGGAAATTGACCGAAATTATTAATGCTAAAAACAACTAATAATGGAAACTAAAACCCTAATTAGCAAACATAGTACTCGATGAACTAGTCTTCACTTGGTTCTTCCATTTGAAGGAAAGTGTATATAGTAGTTTCTCCATTATGTAATCCTTCAATGGTCCTCAAGTCATCACCAACTCGTTCTTGAATCGTGCACACAAGAGCTTGAAGTGATTCTTGAATTCTCCTAGCACGCGCTCTTGTAATTGGACCACTAGGTATTTGCATGACTTGAGCACTAGAAGTTTGAGCAGCCTTGAGCCCCTCCTCATTAGTCCCCTCCTCTTGAAGGCGATTTGTCCTCAAATCAAACTCATCGTCTGCATGAAAAGGACTCAAGTCAGAGACATTAAAAGTAGCATGTACCCCATACTCACCTGGAAGTTCGAGTTTGTAGGCATTGTCATTTATACGCTCCAGGACTTGGAATGGACCATCTCCCCGTGGAAGTAGCTTACTACGCCTTTTGACTGGAAACCTCTCTTTGCGCATGTGTATCCATACCCAATCGCCAGGCTCAAAGACCAGCTTGCGGTGCCCCTTGTTGGCACTTTGGATGTATTGAAGTGTACGCTTCTCGATGTTGGCTCGCACCTTAGAGTGTAGCTCACGTACATATGCCGCTTTGTTCTTACCATCCAAGTTAACTCTCTCTTGAACAGGTAAAGGAGTTAAATCCAAAGGTGTGAGAGGGTTAAAGCCATACACAATTTCAAACGGCGAATAATGTGTAGCAGAATGAACAGTGCGATTGTATGCAAATTCCACATGTGGTAAGCAATCTTCCCAAGATTTAATGTTCTTTTTAATAATTGCGCGCAACAGGGTAGATAAAGTCCTATTAACCACTTCGGTTTGACCATCAGTTTGTGGGTGGCTAGAAGTAGAAAATAGCAATTTAGTACCTAGTTTACACACACAAAGTTTTCCAAAAATAGCTAAGGAATTTGGCGTCCCTATCAGAAACAATAGTGCGTGGCATGCCATGTAATCTAACTATCTCACGAAAGAATAAATCTGCAACATGCTTAGCATCATCTGTTTTAAGACAAGGAATAAAATGGGCCATTTTGGAGAAACGATCAACTACCACATAGATTGAATCATGTCCTTTTCTAGTCCTAGGTAGTCCAAGCACAAAATCCATTGACAGATCAACCCATGGTTCATGTGGAATTGGCAAAGGCGTATAGAG